CTGCGACAGTCACCGTCACAGGCACATCCCTACAGAGTACGAATATTTCTTCAGAACACCACAGAATTATAAGATAAAACGAACGTCTTTTTTCCTTCTACCTCAACATACCTCAAATTTTGAAATACTCCAGTTTATTGTTCCCGTTGTAAATTTCAAAGGATTCTTTGACAAATGTGAAGTCCGGAAATGGTACGTCGTCAACCTGATTTAAGGTAAAAGCGTTTATTCGTTCATTTACCGAAAAAACCACTTTCTGCATACTAAACGTTGGTCGTAATGAATAAGTGAATAAATTAATGAATGACTGAATGTGCGAAGTAAGGAATGAATGGATGGATGGAGGATTGATGTATAGGTAAGATAAAACTTTAATTGATTTAAACACCAGGCAGTCAAGTTGACTGAACTACGCGATGTTGACATGGCAATATATGTATACAAGGTAATAAGTATGTTTGCAAATAACTCTACCATACTCTCATTCCTCTTTTCTATTATCAAGGATTCATTTTCATTCGGAAATTTACCCACTCCACTATTCTTTAACAGGCCGGGCTTAGGACACTAATGAGTACTTTGGACAGGTGTCAGTATCAAAATTCGGCCATTAACAAATATCATGCATTTCAAAGTCACAGATTCGTCACCTAGTCCACAGTATTCAGTAGTCTTCATGTTGATGCATTTAGCTTGACAAGAATCGCATTCACTGGCCTTCACTAGGTTTCTCCTGCAGACCTTTTCGACACTTTAAGTACTTCCAAGACGAAAGTGAATTGCGCGATGAAAAATGCTTCACGTCACAACCACTCGATACGGAGACATTATTTACCCTATTAACTAGCTTATTTGTCGTTTTTTTTGGACTCCAAGATAACGATTAGAGTATGTCAAACAATAAATAACCAAGTGCTGGAAAAACGCGGCTTCACCGCCTGGAATATTTAAATGACATGTCTTCCTCTTATGATTCCTTTTTTTACTGGAATTTACGCAATGGAGGAATAGCGTACAACACACCGAACCCTCCCAAAAAAAAAGACCAGCGAGCACGAAGGACAAGAAAAAATAAACTCGACTTAAAAAAGTGACGCAAGGAGTGCGATTTGATCACAACAAGTTACTCTGAGACTAATCAGTCCCAAGTTATAATTTGCAAATACAAGGGCATACTCACCTTCTTAATACAAGATATTCAAACATTTTCTTTCCCACGGGAAATATCACTATTAATGAAATCAGAACAAAAAAAGCAGTAATAAAAAAATGATCATGCATATTCGGTGCTCTTACTTCTTCGCTTACGCCCTTACTAGCACACGACTGACCTTGGCGTTAGTCACCAACGACACAAACAAACAACGTCAGTCTTTCGCAATAAAATCCTCTGAATTTCTAGTTCCATGATTTCGCATACCATACGAGCGGACATTTTGCTCCTTGACACAAAACATGTTAAGCCATCAAATAAGGTGTACGTACATGAACATGTTAAGTAACAATACTAAGAAATTATAGGTAAGGTCGAGGAAGTGAAGAAATTTGTAGTACC